GGCGAGAGTGTATTGCTGTCTATCTGATCTCAGCTTTGTTTTCTTTTCACCCTTTTGGGGCTTGCAGGACCAATGCGTTGCAGCAGTGGGTTTATTGCCTTGTTGATTTGTGACCCATGAATGTTTCCAATGAGATGTGTGTGATTTATTGGCATAAACCATTAGATCTTCCTTGAATGCCCTGGAGTTTCTGAATCACCAGCTGAAAACTATTATTACAGAGCACATAATCACTTGGAAAGTGCTTCTGTCTTCTCCTTTTTTTCATTAAATTCAACTACATAAATAGCATTTTTATAGCAAGTAGGCCAAAAAGGTACCAAGATGTTCTGTATTTCTGTTTTGTTTTACCTTAGGGAAACTTGGTCAGCAGTGACGCTCACAGTTGATGTGAACCTTGGGCACTGTCTGAGAACTTTCCTCATAATGCTTCTGCAAGAGGCTCCAATCAACTGAACAGCTTCAAGTGCACAGGCTGATCTTGGCACTGTCACAGTTTTAACTGGAAATACGGTTTCATTGTAGCAATGTTTGGATATCCTTCACTGTGAGGGTGGAAGGGCTTTGCTAGCATCTTGTTAAACATGATTCTGGCAACTACAGGAGGAGCGAAGAGTCCAAATTGTTCCCAGAACTACGATAGAGGATTTCTTGGCCCAGTGCTGCTGCTGTCGCCTGCCTTCAGCAGAGCACATTTCTAATCTCCCTTCTGCTCTTCTACATGCGTGCACACTGGGCTCCAGTCCGAAAGGAGGATCAGGCTCATTATAGTTTTCAATAGCTTAAAAAAAGTTAGTAAATCATCTTACCTTTCCAAGCCTTCTTTAATCCCTCCTTTCATGAACAGCAAAATGGCTTTGCCTTTTGTGCAGACCCTTGATGGTCTGGGCATCAGATTAAGTTCACGCCTTGTTTTAGGTCGTTCCTCCTAAGCTTGGAGCAGGGCTTCAGGATGGGTCTGTAACGCTACTTTTCCTAGATGTCCACACAAATAAAGCTCCTGTCCATGGATATGATCCGTGGCGTGCCAGGTGAGCCTGAGGGGCTGATGTTGTCTGTATGAGATCAGGAAATAAAGGTAAATCGTTATCAGTGTCTTAATTAAAGTTTCTGAGAAGTGGGGAAAGCAGGAATCATTCCTCTGGGTACAGGTGGTGTGGCAAAAGAAGTGAATCTTTCCAAAACAGTGATGTGCCAAAGATGTCTTCTGATCTTTGGCAGCTGCGATCTGATTTCCTCTTCTTGTGTCTCTGCACGGGACAGTACATTTCCAGGCAGAGAGGTGAGGCTGTGGATTTCTTCCTCATCTAGTGTTTCAGAAATAAGCACTCACTTGAAAATTGTTCAGTTATTATATGCTGGGACACTGTTTTCAGCCTGTGGTCTACGAGCCTCCCTACAAAGGAGGAGTTTGGTAGAAAACTTTTTTGCAAGGGCCACACAAAAAGTGACTGAAGAAAAGGAAGTTTGTACCTACGCTCTACAACAGCTTGAATAAGGGAAATTTTTGTAAGAAATTCACATCTGATGACAATTTTTTAGGAGCTTGCGTATCAAGAAGATTGCAAGACGCTTTGCTAATATTAACAAACTTCTGCATTGTGGTAGTGTTTGAAATTCTGCTAATAGTCATCTTTTTTTAGCCATACAGTAATTGCACCTCTCAATAGGAATGCTACTCAGGAATAATGATCCTATCAAGACAAAGGAATATAGATTGTAGTAAAGGTTATGATGGTTTCTGTGAGAGGCTTAACATTGATCCTTTTAGCTATCTGACTTTCCAAGAGGAAAAAAACAACTTTGAGTTAAGCAGGTGATTCAGTGTGAAAATGCTTGTGGTGAGTTTTAGAAGATGGAACTTGAAATGAATTTGCTAAACTGTTTTTTTTCTCTTTCTTTTTTGATGAATGCTTTTAAAAAGAAATGGATTTTTCTTTCCCACACATTTTAAATGCTCTTCTCAGTTCTTTTTTTTTTTTTCCTAATGCAAGTCAAAATTGTTAGAGAATTCAAAAGTAAAAATCCGTTATGTTGAAAAGGCCATGTTGTGAAATACATCATAAACACCCTGTTAGAGCAGTGCCTGCTAATTAAGAGAGAGAGCTCCTGGGAAACAGCAAGCCTATAACAGAGCTCAGCCTCCTTTGATCCTCTGTTGAGTTTGTAAAAACGCTACCCGCCTAAATTTGTCTGCAGCTTGTTACACTTTTTATCCATCTGCTGCAAGACCAAAAATAAGTGATTTATTATTCAGTTGAACTCCAGTTGTTCAGCATATCACTGACTGGAGAGTCTTCGGTAAGAGGGAGAGGATAGGAGGAAAAGCCAAGTAAAGGCTAAGCAGAGTCAAGCCCCATGGAAACTGTGTTGCTTTTGCCTGCAGGGATTGTGTAGGCACTGGGCTGC